TTTAGAAAAAAATGTATATCATATAATATTTTTAAAATAGGCAAATTAGAATTTTAGTCTTAGTCCCTTAGTTAATTTAAGGGAAATATAATATAGATACTCAAGTGTAATTTAAAAACAAAACTTTATCCACTTAAGCGATTTTACAATTTTAGTATTTATTATTAGATTGCGTTTAAAACGCTTGAATGACTGTAAATCTGTTTATAYTGAAAGTGCACACAAACTTTTGTACAATATTGTTTGTAGATTTCATTGTAACTTATTTCTCTTGTTTACTTAACGTTTATAAATATTTKGTTTTTCGAAACTTAGCGGTAAAATGTATAACAATAAGTTAATTCAATATCTGAAGTGAACATATTTTATAYAATAAAGTTAATTTTATGTTTTTTAAAAACTTAACGATAATATTTAATGCAATTTGGTTTGTTGATTTTGGATTTCGATGAATGTGTTGGTTTCMAAATTATGTGTACTTTTTTGAATTAGCAATCACATTTTTGACTAGTAAAAATACCTCAATTTTCAACTTCAAGAGTGATTTCGGTAAAAACTGAATATAGTTGGTTATATTAATAAAATAAAATCTTTATATTTTCAAAATAATTTGGGAAAAAATATGTGAAAATCGAAAAATCTACGAGAAACCAGTTGGAACAAAACGATTATTTTTTTGTATTTCAAAAATTATAGAGAATAAAGATTTTACCTGCAAATATTTATATTAGAATTTTCTAATCATAGTTTAGTTTTCCTAATGTTTAAGGCCATTTTGTGACATTTCGAGTCACTAAATTTTAAATAAATGTGAATACACATTTTTATGATTTATCAAAAAGCTTGAAAATTTGATACAATAATTTTCATATTAGTTATTTCAGTATTTTAAAAATACCAAAAATATACATKGATACTGATTTTTTTTAGACATTTGAAATTTTAATTTGTATGAAAAATAATGATTTAAGTTATTATTTTATAAATAAAAAAATATTGACCTTCTGGACTTTAAAATTTTGGCCATTGTTTATACCTATTATTATTGTTTTCTATACATATTAATTTTTTAAAATTTTTAGAATTTATACCTACGTGAAATTGACTTATATTTAGTTAATCGCATTTAAAAAGGTACACTCAAAACCTATTTTACAGCGGAGCGATTTCCATGGTTATTAAAAATTGTGTCTCGTGTTGTRCAYGTGTGTTTAGTCTCGTAAACGCGGTGGTGTTTAAAAAAGTTATATGTACCGACATTGCAGTTACGGTAAAACATTCCGTAAAACGTATCGTCGGCCACACGAGGGACACAAACAGTAAAATATACTGCACGGGGAGTTATTGTATATATATATTTACCTACCAACGAAGTAATATTTGCAATGTGACTGTAAAAAGAAAAAAAAGAAAAAATGTCTTTAAGACCAATGTTTCAGTCGATTACCTTTACAAACACGATGGCGATGTATATTTTGTGCAACAAACGAGTCTTTATACGTTTTCTTGTTTATCGCAAACAAATACAGGAATTGCAAACCTCCCTACTCGTATCATACTGCACACACGATCGTGAGTTGTCGTTATTATCATTATTATTGTTATTTTTCTTTCACCCCTGGCTACCTCACATCCCTTCCACACCCGACCTTCGTGTTCTTTACACTCTGAAACCTGTTCAAACAGTGCTTTCCAACTGCAGTGGCTTTGAGAGCGCTCGTTAAACGGCTCCGGTTCGGGGGCAATTTATTGTCTGAATAAATGTCTCTCGAATTTATTGCTCGTAATCTTTTATCGTTTCACTAGGAAAATATAATTTGACATGTATAGGTAAACACTTTAATATAACACAACCTATACAGTGTAATATCGGCGATGGCCAGACGGGATCAGACTGATATATTTCAATAGTAATTCGACGTGACTGTTGTACGGACTGCAACCGAAAAAGGAATAAAGGTAGTTTTTCGGAAGAGATTTCACACACAAAATGTCAAGTCAATTACCACCATCAGTTAAACGCGCACGCTTTGTATGGTCGAAATATTTATCGTGCGAGATTTTATAATATATTATTATTATATAGCACGCGAACACTGCATAGTCRAATTGTTACAGTATAATCCAGTTTATGTTATAAAGTATCACGTATAATAATAGCACATAAGATATGAACTACCTATTAAAGTACTTTTGTTTTTTTTTAGAAAAAAACAATATTTAAAAAATAATAATATATTAATATTATATTTTATGAATAATTTTCATCATTTTAGATTGTAAGAGTTATTTTAATTTTTGAAGACATAATATATTATAKTCTGCTTTAAAAATGYTCTGATCATAAACTTCGAAGAAGATTCGAGTTCGTATTTTGGTGGGTTAAAAGTAGACATTTTCTAGTACTAATAAATAATTGGGAGAAAAAATTAATACGAACATTTTTTAAAACTTTRATATTATTATAAAAATAAGTTTTTAATAGCCAAGATTGTCAAAAAGTTAGACCATTTCTGATGAATATCATTCATCATCTAATACAATTATTTATTATTGAATTAAACTTTAATCCGTCATCCGTAAAATTGAGCTACTGAGACCTCAATTACGAGGTACACTCGACACCTACTGCATGAGCAGAAGCCGCTTTAATGTTTTTTTTTTTTTTTAATTGTAATTTTATTTTGGAAATAGATTAATTTAGAAAAAAATGTATTCACGCAACGTATTTCGTGATTTGGCTAACATACTAATGAAAAGTTTTTTTGGAAATTATTATGTGTATAATAATAATAATAATAATAATAATAGCAAGACTCAAATTACGACATTGCTTTCATAGTCTACGCTTAGTTTATGAATACCTACCTATATAATTTACTTTTGACAGTTGRCTATACCAGAGAATGTATTTCGGCTACTGACTGTTATCCACTGCAGGTTTCCGAGGCCCGAGATCAGCTCATTTAGCTTTGTCGAGACGACTAAGTTAGTTAGTTTTCAGACGAAGGTGCTTATTATTTAAATTTTAAACATCTTCTGTCGTTGCCTTCAAGATGTGAACTAAACAGTGAATCGCAAACAAGCGAAATATACGTTAAATAGCTCGTTGTTATCGGCRGGTTTAAACTCTCATGAGCGAACAACAAACCCAGATATTGACAACAATATTGCGGCAATGGCAATCGGTAGAATTCGAGATTATTCGTCCTTTTGGGATAGTTTTTGGTCATTAGATCAACATGTTCTTAGGTTCATTAATGCCCGTGTAAGTAATGATAGTAATATGATAAAAATAAAACTTTATATCDAGTGCTGTATGAATTTTTATTTTAGCAGAACACTCAGTACTAAATGTTGAAATCCACTATAGTTAAAAAAAATCTAATCATACTTTATATTTAAGACTCGTTATCGAATCATTATCAACCATATCATAGTTGTATGCTCGCTGATTATAGTATAATTCTTGTTCATTAGTGTTACGCCGATTATTTTAAGTATAATATTTCATTGTTAACGTTATAGTATTATATAAGATTTGTATTAATTAATTATTAATGTAAGCTTGCGAAAGGGGGTGCTTGGTACGATTTGCGGTTCTCATGTTTTTTTGTTTCAACATGCATTTTCAAGAGTTCAAAACAAAACAGTTAAAGAATCGAACACATTTGGGCAAGTATTTAAAATTAAACAAAATATTTCAATAAAATATTTTTGAATRAGTTAATAATAAGTTAACAACATTTTAATATTTGATAAATGATAAATATAAAAATAGAGTATGTTTTTACGTAGGTTATAATACAACAGAATATGACATTTTAAATTCATAATAGAAAACAAGGGAAAGTAATTAACGTTTCTATTGTAAATTTGTACTGCAGTAATTGTCGAGTGAGCCTCGCTATTGCATGTCACTGTAATGTATGCATGAATTATTTATACGTCGGATTTGAATTCATTGATAAATCATTGCACGTAAAAAACAACTCGGGGTTGAGACGGTCTGTCTGCCTATTGCCATATAAATATATTGGCATTAATGGATAATTATTGTTATTCGTACTTTATAATAAATTACTGTTTTTTTTTTTTTT